TTGGTAAAGATCGGTGCTATATACATTTTGAACTTAGACGTACCACGAATGTCACGTCACACTACTACTAAACAAGTCGGACTGAGTTCAGGGAATGGAATTCTGTCAGCGTATGATGACCATTTACAATTATAGTCTTACAATCAACGCATAGGTGTTAAATGGTTTGAGCAAAATGCAATTTAAATTGCACGTTGATGACAAATATCAAATATGTATTTTATAACACATTGCTGAAATTGGTTAGGCGGCGTCATGTGGTTTTTTTTTTAGTATTGTATTTTTAGTATTGGATTTTTCTCTAGTATTGTATTCGTTATTATTTTTTATCTGGTGTTGTTATACATGGTTTTAATGGGATGATGAATTTCGTGTTGATGTAACTCTATGGGGTTTACCAAATTGTAAATTGGCAAAAATAAGATAAAGATTTGTATCTGCTTCCCATTTTTTATACATGCAGATTCAAGTTGTATAGGATCAATACGAAATTCGCAAAAACTCTAAGAACTGACAGTGCACATACTAGGAATTAGAAAAATAGAACGGTTGAATCATCATACATATCATGGTTTATATTTCAAACAAAAACTAGTATTAAGAGTATAGGGAAAATGTGCTTCATAGAAATATTTTATATGTTATCGAATGTTCATTTCAACTAATTTTTTAAACCCATCTTTAGAAAAAGATACATCATTTCACAAAGACTTAGTTATTGACCCTTGACAATAAGTATACAATTCTGCACTATTGGGTGTATATGAACAGGTGAAATATAAGGATTATAAAAGTTTGGATCGTGTTTCTGATATTTTTTATTTTTCTGCTGTGTTCTGTAGACCTATTCTTGTATTTTCGTCACTTTTCGTTTTTTGTTCTGGATGTGTCAAATTGTCATCGACTTTTAAGTTTGCAGGTATCTTATAATGGAATTGGCAGTTTCTATTATTGGCGATTAAACCAGTTTTATAAAATACTCAGTTTTCCGTCCTTTTCTCTCTATCATTGACCTACAAATGGTCCACAGAAGGTCGGGAAATAATTTGCATTTACAATGTGATTTCATACAGCAATGTCATGAATTAAAATGAATAATTCAACCACAGTTACAGTGTAGAATATGTTCATACAGAAAAGGATACACAAATAAACTGTTTCAAACTTTAAATTATTATCTTACATAAAAGCAAGCATACTTCATCAGCATATTCATTACCTGAATCTTTATATTTACAAGTCTAAACATATTGTGAAGGAAATTTATTTTACCTTATAAAAATGAGGAGATGTGATATATATTCAGATAGAAATTACAAACTGATCACCAAGAATTTTACCATGCAAATCGAAGATCTGAAACAAAAAGAACACGAAGAAGATACTATTCCAAAGAATATGAGGGGTAAATATACGTATTCTTTACTAAACCATCCTATCTGTGTTAGTACATTGGAAGTCAGTAATTTCATATAACCACGTGAGTGGTATAAATTTCCAATCAGTTGTTCATTTTGTATTGATCAAGGCAATTGTTCTATAATGTCATTGAGCCATCGTACATTTTTAGCTTCAATAACTTGTAAGAAATTTATGTATGAGTTCCGTTGCAGAGCTTTGTAAAAATATCTCGAGAAGAGTATTAAAGTGATGTAAAGGTAGATAATATTAGCGTATATAGCTACAATATCTCGAGAAGAGTATAAAAGTGATGTAAAGATAGATAATATTAGCGTATATAGCTACAACTAACACTCTATGAAGTTTACCATTTGACGTAAAGATAAGGAGATGTGGTATGATTCCTCATAATACAGTAGGTATATAAGAAAGTAACTATTATAGTGATCATGACCTGTGTATCATAACATACATTTATACAAGTATATACATAGCTGTTTGATATTTACACTCGGCCCATATGTCGTTTTACCAATATTATTAGTTACATAGTGTGCTAGTGACTTAATTCGATATATATGGGATCAGTAAATTCCATATGTGGTGAGGGCGAAGTTCGAATCCCCAAATGGAATTTACTGACCCCATTTATATCATATTAGGTCACTAGCAGACTATGTAACGAACTAATCTTAATGACTATCTTAACATGTGGAATTTAGACTAGTTGCTTATCAAAAGAATCAAGTATTCAATGCCGTTTATAGTAAGAACGTACTTCAATTTGTCTATACAAAAAACAAATGCCAACAATAACCACTTGCTAGCTTTAAATGTGTTTTAAGAATTTATTTCAATCGTTCATCGTCAATTTTCGTCTGTTGAAACCATTAAAAATTTCCGCAATACCGTATTGTTTGAATAAAGGGACGAAACACCACTACTAACCGGGTATTGAAATAAGTTTGGCTTCTAACCGAATATGGAACATACACGGTCTCCACGGGGTTTCTTTTAACCAATCATGTTTCATTCTCAATTTTATGTTCCTACAAATGTATAGGAGGTAAGATGATATATCATATACGAAAAAGTTTACAAAATAGAAATATTGAATATAAAGTCTTAAAGTTGTTTTTTTTCTATGAATGAATGCTGAAGTTAAAAATACCCAGCAAAGACCAAAGTACAGAAATGTACAGTAAGCAAATACATAACAATGTACATCCTTCTACAATGAGCCAAATCTATACCATAATAATATACTAAGCTGTATAAGGTTTATTTCACGGTTAACTAGTCATTCTAGTGACATCAATTTGACTTATTTCTATGTCACTTCGACAATTGTGTCAATTATAAGTTTAGATTTATCAAGACAATTCAGGAACGAGGCGAACTTCTTATCTGCTTATTTCATTCTAATAGCTCAACATAAGCAGTATGTAGATGAATGGACAAAAGATGACCAAATATTTGTAATCACCAAGGCTACTAAGTATGTGAAGTCAAGTCTCAAATACAATAACAGCATAATTGTCACGGGGTGCTCAGGGAATGGAAAGTCTTCGATTATTCATCATGTTGCCTTAGAATTACGCTCAAAGTATGGATATGAGGTAATACCATTTGTGACAGGACCGTTTAATATTATAAACTTTCGTGACCCAAAAAAGAAACAAGTTTTTGTAGTTGATGATATTTGTGGCAAAGAAGCAATTAATAGATGCTCAGTAGATCTTTGGAGAGATCACTTGGACAAATTAGAAAAAATATTCAATGTTTTTAAAACTGAAAATGACAAAAAGCAACACATTGTTCAATCAGAGTTTCGAAAAATACCATCTCCAAAAATATTGGTATCCTGCAGATTACATATATACAGAGATTTGCAGTTTCAACTGCTCAAACTTTTCACAAGAAATGAATGCAATTTGACGTCAGACGAGTTTCGACTATTAGATAACGAAAGAATCTTGATGATGAAACAGTACCTACCAGTAGAAATGTGTGACCCCTGGGAATTGGAAGAATTCGATTTCTTTCCTTTGCTTTGTAAATTATCTAAGGGGAAAACTTCGGATGAAGTAAAGACACTATTCACATTTCCTGTTGACACTATTAAAGATAATTTAAAACGATTCATTAGGTGTCAGATTAAATACCAGGTTTGTGCTTTAGGTCTCTGCATCTTATTTGTTGAAGGTTTTGATCCGAATTGGCTGAAATTTGAATATGCACATTTTTATATAAGAGACAAAATACAGAATATAGTCGACGAATATGACATTAATATAAATTTAGAAAGGCCACGGAAATTGTTAAAACAAGGTTTTAAAACATTGGTGTCAACATACTTAAGAAAACGAGGACACATGTATATAATGATACATGATAAAATACATGAAATTGCTGCTCTTCTTTATGGACAGCATCTCACAGAATGCTTCATCAAGTATGCACCAATGCAATTTGTTTGCGATCATTACAGATTTGAATCACGTGAAACTAAAGAAAGGGATAATATTATAATACTTCCAAGATCCCTGAGGGAAGAATATTTCAACAGAGTAATAAACGATCTAAAACAAGGTGGCATCATTAGCACAATACGTAATAAGAATTTAGTAATTGCATCATTTCGAGCTGAAATAATCAATATTTTGCGGCAAGACCTCCAAGTTAGAGCTGCCTTGATTCAACCTTGTTCATATACTTCATATCGTAAGTATCATAAGTATACAACCCCATTAATGGAAGCCACAGTTCAAGGTTTCCTTGACCTAGTTAAGGTTCTGATTGATTTAAAATGCAACGTCAATGTCATCAATTATTTAGGAAAATCACCACTTTTTATGGCATGTGAGGGTGGACACATAGCTATAGTAAAACTGTTACTACAAAACGATGCTAATGTGTGTATTTATGATTATAAAGGGATGTCACTTTTACACGTGTCCTGTTTAAAAGGTCATATACATATTGTGCAACAATTACTTGCGAAAAGTTCCAAAATCTTAAAAAAAAGGAAAATAACAATCTATGATTCAACGAAAGCTGCTGAAATAAGTGATGACGATTATAAAAGATTTAAAAAACACATTATTACTGTTAATGTATCGCAGATTAATTTTCAGGATTATCAGGGACGTTCACCATTGTATTTTGCATGTAAAGGTGGTCATACACATATAGTTAAGCTATTGCTGGAAAAGAATGCTGATGTCTCGAAATGTAACAAACGTGGACACTCACCATTAATTTTAGCATGTAAAGGGGGTTATACAAATATAGTAAAACTGCTGTTAAGAAAAAAGGCAAATGTAAACAAGCAAAGTATGGATGGTCGCACAGCATTGCATTTTGCATGCAAAAGAGGGAGTTTATCAATTGTGAAAATTTTACTGGAATATCAGGCCAACATTTCTCAAGGAGGGTGGTCTTTGCAGTCACCATTGTACGAAGCTTGTGAAGGAGGGCAAATAGAGGTTGTGAAATTGTTACTCAAGAACAATGTTGATGTCAACCAATGTGGAAAATTTGGACAAACACCATTAATTGTAGCTTGTAAAGCAGGACACCAGTATATAACTAAAGTACTGCTAGAGAATAAGGCTGATATCTGTAAGTGTGATAAATTTTGAAAGTCGCCATTATATATGGCTTGTAAAACAGAAAATACAGATGTAGTGCAGACTTTACTGGAGAATGATGCTGATGTCAATCAGTGTGACCGACGAAAACAATCTCCATTGTTTGTTGCATGTAAGGAAGGTTTTTTAGATATCGTAGAACTGTTGCTAAAGACAAAACCTTCACTAGATAAACGTGATGTACATGGCCAAGCACCTTTACATATCGCAAGCGAAGGCGGACATACATATATAGTGAAGTGTTTACTTAATAAAGGAGCTAATGTAAATCAAAGAGGTCGGGCTGGACAAACTCCTGTTTATTTTGCTTGTTGTAAAGGGCATATTGATGTAGCGGAAGTGTTATTGATCAACCGTGCTGACGTTTTATTACGCAATAAGTATAACCGGTCGCCGTTGTTTGCGGCTTGTGAAATGAGCCACATACAAATTGCACGACTTTTACTAGAAAACGGCGCTGAGGTTCTAAATAGAGACAAGTTTGGAACGACACTTTTGCATACGGCTTGCAAAGGAGGGAATGATGAAATAGTGAAATTGTTATTGAGGAAAAACACTGATGTTAATCAATGTGACAATAATGGGCACTCACCATTGCATATTGCATGTAAAGGAAACAATAGGGAAAATGATTACCTTGAATTAAATACATGCGATGAAAGGTACAGAGAAATTGTAAAAGTTTTACTTAAGATGAATGCAGATGTAACATTATGTGATAATCAGGGCATTACGCCTCTGAATGTTGCTCATGTATCGGGAAACATGGAGATAGTTCATCGTATTCAGACAAAGCAATGACAAAATAATGCATTTTCCACTTAGTTTTGCCATGCAAGGTTAAGACTAAAATACTGCTGCAAAAAGTACTATTTTCTTTCAATGGTAAATATTCCGAAAAGGAATAGCAGTTGATGCACGTCTACACAGGCAAATATATATACTAAATCTAATAAAAACGTCCTACCAGTTAAATAAGAGTTCCTATGAATTTTATAAAACTCTTGATGGATTTACCAAAATCAAACAAAAAAATACTTATCACAACTGTTTTTGGTGAGAAATTACACGAAACAAAGTTTATGTTACTGGAACTTTATGTAAAGCTTATTATGCTCCTGTGACCCCTTTTTTACAGTTAAAATCAGTGTTTTTTTTTTTTTTTTTATATAAAAATAGTTTGTGGAGTTAATTCTCAATAAATTAGTAGAGGTTATCATCTGAGAGAATTGCATAACATGTATGTTCAGAAAATTATAAAAAAACGTTTTGTGTTTAAGACTTACATTTAGAAAAATGTTTGAAACAAATACATCCGAAATATACCACTTTTCTACACACTCCATACCGATGGTCTTTCAATGATTTTAATGGAGTGTTTTTCATTCTCATATTTTGGCAATCGTCATTTGGGTCAATATCCCTAATGTGCCTCCAATTGAGGAACACAAAAGTTGTGTGTAAACAAAAAATCTCTGTGTAGTGATATTGGACATGTTTATATTTTAAACAAGTGACTGAGCTTAACCATTTGTGTTGATTTGGAAAGTAGAGGACCATAGAATAAACGTGAAAAAACTATGGAGTTACCAAATGTTTTCAAAGTATTAAATTTTCAAAGAACTTATTGTGTGAAAAAAGAGATTTTTTACCATGAAGAGCCGCATCACAAAAGGATTTTCGGGGTATGCTTATTTACGGAAAAATGAATCACACTTCGTACCCCGAAAATTTAACCACATATTGCCCTATTTGCCTAGATTGTAGTATGTCGTCCATTTTTACAAAAAATCTCCTCTGAAAGTTTTTGAACAAAACTTAGCAATTTTCAAAATTGGAGTACTTTGTGTCCTATGAACTTGACTAACAACCAATATGGCCGATATGACTATAGAAATAGAACGTAGGAGGTAATATTCAACTTTTGTCTACTTTCCTAACAAATCGATATGGATAGAGAAAATCTAACAAGGACAGAATGTTTTAAATGTTAAAATGGTTTACCCTTGTTCCACTTAAAATGTTTACATTCTTTTCCTATTAATTACTGAATACACTTATTCATGCGTAACCCATCTCTAGCTAAGGGTTTAAATTGAACTTCACATGCATGAATACAGATTCAATGAGGTCGAATAATTCACCTTGTAAATGAATTCACCAGCGATGTTTCTTAGACTGACAACATTTAACCAAAAACCAAACTAGCGTCTTTAGCGAATTATTATTAAACTATTTCACTTTCATTAATGATTGAAAAAAATCATATTGTATTTTTTTAAATCTCGTAGCTTATGCCCCTTCAAGGGCTCTCATTAATAGTTTTTATGTTTTATAGAAAGCTGTTATCTTATACAGTTTTAGACCAATGTAAATGGTCTTTAGAATATGCATGTTGTTCTAACATTTGTATATATCAATGCACAGTCAGATCAAAAACCAGCCTTGTATTAATGTGTACTTTATTATGCGAATTCTCCAAAAAGAAGAATTTTTTTGAAATATGTGAAGTCACAAATATTCGGACTTGGTAGACGTATCCAGTTGTGTATGACCATTGTATAGTAAGCAAATTCAACTCTTTTCTTTTCCGTGAGATACACAAGTATAAATAAATAACATTCAAATAAGGGTCTTATGTTAATTAACCGGCCGGGTCCCAGTAAAGACTACTAGGACAATTCGGAAATACCAGAAAGCAAGCCAGATATCAACCTATTTGTAAATATCTACAATGTATGACAAGTCGTTGATTACAAGATAATTTTACATGGTTAAGATACAAGATTACATGGTTTTTTGGCCAGTTATTTGGAATTCTTTGATTTTACTCATTTAGTGACATTACTAATTTTGCTTGCTTACCACTATTTTTCTTTCAATAATTTGATAACATATAGTTTAAAAAGTCATTATGAAAATCTTATAAAATTCTTGTTATTTTAAAAAAGTACCACAAATTTTGAGTTATAATTATATATATGGAAAACAAGGTCATGTACCTATCATTTTTTCTGCTTTCTCATTTTTGTTATATATATATATATATACTATTAATTCATAACAGTAATTTAAAAAAAAACTTGTCATTTTTAAACAGAGGAGCGAGCATCCTCAATAGCAAATTTACTTTCTATGATTAAAGATGTATTTGTTTGCGTTTGTCAGAAAAAATATCTTTTATGCTTTGTATTTTGTATTAAACTATATTTTAATATAGTTACTGATGAGTCTTTTGTAGACGAAACGCGCGTCTGGCGTAAATATAAAATTTCAATCCTGGTATCTATGATGAGTTTATTCAAAATATTGATTGTTTCAATTTTTACTAGATATGTATTTCACTTCATGGTTAAACACCTTAAATTTTCCTGTAGTCAAAATATGTTCTTTCCTGTAGTCAAAATTTATTTGCAAATCAATTACAGCAAATCAGCATGATAATTGTCAAAGTGTTCTTTAACTGAGTTTTTGGGATTCACTTTGCAGAACACGGACTTTGCCTTTTATATACATGTATTTGACGCGTATTCTACGCAACAATTACGTTATTTTATTGAACAGTAACAAGATACGCCAGTTGTTTTGTTTTCCATTGCAATTATTTTATTTTCACAACTAATTACTGTTCTTACAGCAACAAAAAAGACTATTCAATATCTTAATGTAGAATAGTATCACACAGACGATATGAAATTCAAGTATACAAACCAATTATACTTTTACTATATTTATAGAAATGATAGATTCGTCTTCATTAACGTAACAAAAAACAAAACCAAGTAATTATGTACAGTATCAAACTAATACTTGAATTCAATTCACGCATGAAGTGATCGGTCTATTGATTGATTGATTGATTGATTAATTGAGTGTTTGTTTTTGGAGCCACATTAAACACACTAGGTTTTTTCATTGATTGACCAGGTTTAATTGATGGACGAAGTCGATGTACCCTGAGAGAACCACAAAATGTTCAATCCTTGCCAATGTAGGATCGGAGTTAAAAGCACCTTGTCAGGACCAGGATTCGAATTCCCCAACTAAGATCTGATATGCTTTTGATCATTGAAGTCATATCGGCCATCAGATACCTTCGCATAAATTATATGATACATATACGTGAATGCTTTAATGTGAACGCAATTAAAGTTGACAGGAAAGTCTTCTCAATTAAGACATTAATTTTTTTTCAAAATGACAATGTCCGTCCTATATTTGAGTAGATAAAGCTGTCATAACTCCCATGCGTTAAAAGGTTTTACTTTAAAAAGTAACATAATAAAAAAACCGAACTCCAAGGAAAATCCAAAACGGAAAGTCCCTAATCTATGGCAAATTCAAAAGCTCAAACACATCAAACGAATGGGTAACAACTGTCATATTCCTACCTTGGTATATGCATTTTTCTTATGTAGAAAACGGTTGTATTAAACACGGTTTTACTGCTAGCTAAACCTCTCGCTTGTATGACACTCGCATACAATTCCATTATATTGACAACGATGTGTGAACAAAACAAACATTATATACCCTGTATGAAACCTGAATCACACATATATTACTGATTATCCCTGCATCAATGTTTTTTTCCAGGACCAGATATTTGTTAAACCTTCATACTGTACTTACTTACTTAATCCTCTTCGTGCTTTGATGCACATAAGGCCGACACTGGCTCTCTCCATAACACTCTGTCTTGTGCTTTCTTCTCTACTTTGCCATGACATCCCAACCTCCTTCATCTCGCTTTCCACTGTTCTTCTCCATGTTTCTTTTGGTCTTCTCCTTTTCTTCTTGTTAGTTGGAGTCCATGTCAGGTACACTTTAGCGATGTTTGCTGGTTCCTTCCTTAAGACATGGCCTATCCATTTCCATCTTTTTTTTTATTTCATACTTCATACTGTATATATATTTTCCGCATACTTGAAGTATTTGTAATTTGCTGTGAAAATAATTCTATCGTGTATGCAATAATATGTAAAAAAACTTTAAGGCATTGATTACGTATTTGATGTATAAATCGCGTAATTTCAAATGAAAAACGTATAATTGACTGATACACGTCATTATTTTTCCTCTGTGAACCTCTGACGTTCTGTAAGTGTTCTGTATATCGTAAGACTACGTCACATAGTAACGTTCGTTTTGATGACGTTCTTGAGGTTCCAATTAGGGCGAAAAACGTCGTATATACCCCGGCAGTTGCATAAAATTTACTTACATCTCTATGTTGTTATCCAATCATAAAACTCAATATATCCTTAATAGTGGGTTTAAAGGAACATCAATATTGTGTATATGAATTTTGGCTGTTTTCTTGGTGACAGTCTGTATATTACTATCCATACCAGACATTGGTCCGGAAATTACTACAATATTTTTTCCAACTTTTTGTTTCATGAACTTTGTGATTAAATTTTACGAAATGTAGAACCAAACTGCGGACATTATTCTATTCCGTTCCGGAACAATCAGTAAAGAAGTATCTTCATCGGAGCAGGCACTTTTGGGAAGCTTATATACATCGATCGTGACTTATCTTCGAGGCCACCTTTAACAGTAAACAAAGTTAAAACGGATAATATTTTCTCGTGGCATGCTACTTCTATACATATATAAGATTTGACATTTTCGATGGAGCTTCTTAACACAAATGAACTTATGAATTGTGTGATACGATCCAGACACTATTATGTAAAATTTAATTTTGATTTAAAAGACCTCTTTTGTTTAAAAGCAAACAATATATCTTAAGTAGTTATCTTAAATTTTTTAGTATTTTTGAAAGTTTTAAAGTG